TATGTTAAATGGGGACCTCCCACACACCAAGCTCATTGAATTGCATGGTTTAGAAAGAAATGCAAAGTCTGAGTTCTGAGGGGCTAAGATATGAGGATTGATGTAACTTTCCAAGATGCCAAGGGTGCTTACAGTTTTATGACATTCTGTGGGTTAGATCACAGCTGAGAGATGACTCTCAGGGCATAGGCACTCGTGCAACTGTGGATTCAACCATAAATCGATGAAAAAAGATGAGACTTGTGTTCCCGAGTGACCTAAATATCTTCTCTCTAGTCAGACCCAAGCTACACAACACATTTTGCATTTGGGCATATCTGCAAAAAGCCATAGTGTTTCTCTACAGGATGGATAAGTTGTACCAGAAGGACTGGACACTCAACAGGGAGACTTTCACGTTAACTCTGCAGCTACTCAGAGCAAGACTGGAATAGGGCAGGGAAGAGGGGTATGAGTCCAGTTCTGCAGGAGACAAACAAACAGCACAGATTTTAAATTGAATCAACCTCATTTCACCTCTGCCATAAAAAAAAAGCACAAACAAAACCAACAAAACCATCCCTTCAGAGAAGTTGAAGTCACCGTTGCTTTTCAAGATAGAGCTTTACATCCCGCTGGATATGCAAGATTTGTTATTCCCTGTTCCAGACAAATGTATTGAGCACTTTGTATTGCTCTTCCATTTAACACACCTCTGTGGCTGATAAAGAAAGCTGACAGAAGAGAGCATTAATATGAGGCTGACTGGGCTGAGATCAGCTAGATGAGTGAACTTGGCTTTGCAGATGGCACTTGGCAATTCTCTGCTGACCTCTGCCAGGTGGAAAGGTGACAGGGTTCGCAGCCTTTTGGAAGGCTGCGAGGAACTAAAAGGTGATTCATGTTGGGGAAACCAGGTTGGTAAGTAAGAGGAGGTGGAGGAGGCTTTGTCAGGAAAATAAACCCATAAAGTGAAACATTTCACTTAATTAAGCAGCCCCATTTACAGTGGAGAGATCAAAGGAGAGAGGAATTGGAGAGCAAAGAATGCAGTCTATCCCATAAAAGATCAGGTGAAAGAGGAAGATAAGTCTAAAAATAACAAGGGAAACCTGTGCAACCCTCAGTGTTTTATGAACACGCTTATTAAAGCAGCAAAACTAACCAGAAGGGAGGACAGAGGGAGGCTTTTTTGGCAGACACTACTTCTCTGTGGCTCAGCCAAGTCCCAACGGAACGGTCACCACAACTCAATCAGCCTGTGCACTGGATTAGCAAAAGAAATAAAGGAAAGAGTTTCACTGAAGAAAATGAGAAAAAACAATAGAGAGAGAAAAAGAAGAAAAAGATCACAGGAGAACCTGATGACTTGTAAGGGAATTCATTTTTTAAAAAAAATACATAGGGAATTCAAGAGCTCAGACCATAATCAGATCTAGAGTGGAAAGACTGAGACGTAAAACTTGTCAAAAGCAGCATGCTAGGCTGTTCCTTTTTTGTAACTAAGAAGTGACTTAGACTGTAAGAATCTTACTTTGTTGATTCAATACTTCGTTTTGAACCTTTGGCAAATCAGTCAGTAAAATATCTAGATCTATCAAAATATTTAGTGCTGCCTTGGACAGCAGCTAGGGTTCTGCAATAGATGAAACTAAGTGTTAATCTGCATCTTGAAACCCTGACATTGCTCTAAAAATCTGACCTCAACGGCATCTACTCATCATCAATGAAAAGAAGATGACTCCTGTGTAACCCATCAGAATTTCCAAATGGGCACTATCAGCTTCCCTCATACTACAAAGCTAAATAAACAAGCTAGAAATGTGGGGGGTTTTTTCCTCCTAATTCACCGAAATGTTGTTCAAATGCCTTTTGTAATTACTGTGAGGGCATTTTGAAAACTCTGTTTCAGAATACAGAACACACTTTAAAGAAAGTCCTTGATGATTTCTTCCTCAATGGATAATTTTCTGGGTGAAACCCTAAGAGATCGGAAAAAAGTGGATTTGTTATCTGCGGACAGCTGCAGATACACAAATCCAATTTTTAAACGGCTAAAGAAGACAGAGCAAAAGCTCTCTTGGTTTTCAAATCGCCCTTTGTGTCACGGCTGCCTGTTCCACACTTTAGTGTCTCTCCATGGTTTTGTGTCTCTTTTTACTTGTTATTTTTCAGCTTCCAAACTGAAATAGACTTGAAGTCTTGCCTCTGTTTAATCCTCGTTATTTCCACTTGCTCTTTAACACTGCTGGAAGAAGTTAAAGAGTGCAAGAACTGCACATATTGCTGCATCAATGGTGCAGAGAGTCCCTGTCCCCCTTCTTCTAGGGACAGCAGAGGGCAGGCGGACCCCGCCGCAGCGGGGGACCCCGGGCAGGCAGAGGCTCCCGCTGCTGCTCGGCGTTGCAAAGGCATGATATCATGTTGGGAGTCTTATCTCTGACACAAATTGCCACAGGAAGCATTTTGTCAAAATTTCAATATCAAAGTTGGTCGCAGCCTCTCTAGTGGACGGCTTTATTTACTTAGGAGATAAAGGCAGCTGAGCAGAAAGTTAAATTAGGGTAAGCGGTCTCCTGCCTCTGTATAAATGCTGAAAGGAAGTCCATGCCTCCCTCAAAGGCAAACATCGGAGGAAACACAGTTTCTAGTATAGCCATAGAACCATAGAATCATAGAATGTGTTGGGCTGTAAGGGATCTTTAAAGGTCACTGAGTCCAACCTCATTTTTATATTTTGTCAGTAGCTTAAAATATAAAAAATATACAATCATGGAAGTGCTGGCTACGCTAACTGTAGGCAACAGTTAGGCAGAGCTTAAATTTCAAAAATGTTCTAGTAATTTAAAAAAGGATAGATTATCCCTCTTTGGCTTTGTTCTGAGCATTCCTGAACCAACTCAGAGCTGGCAAGAAATGATGAAATTAATCTTTAAGGAAGAGCATTTCAGCTTTTCATGCTGCTTCTTTTTCTTGCCTTTGAGCACTGCACTTCTTTTTCAGATCCCAGCCTAACTCTACTCATAACCAGAGGTTTGGCATAGCCCATTATAAAATGAGGCATGGCACAACAGCTACCCTATATTAAAGCACAGAGCCTGAAGTATGCTGCAGTCCGGCTAAGACAAAAGATAAATAACTATGCAGCAATACATTTACCTTAGCTACATAGCAAATATGACAGATATCTTTTTTTTCTGAGAGCTTTGTTCAGTAAAATCCACTTCCCTTCTCAATCCTTGGTCAGACAATCTCCTACAGAAATCCACTGAGTATGGAGGACCTAAGGATTTTTATCAGAGCATTTTCTTAGAGCTGTTATCAGGTGCTTAAAAGAAGCAGTTGTGGAGCTAAGGGGCAGCTCATGGAAAATACCCATTCATCTTTAAACTTTCCAACTTTTAAAATACTTGCATGGATATTCAAATCATGATAAAGATCAGCATTGACATGCTTCAGCATGACATGTTTCCTTCCTTGCGAATCCCAGCTCTACCATGTGATGGCTAATACACTCAAAAATGCAATGAGCTTATGATCCATCTATCTGTGCAGAGTGTTCATCCTTATGGGGCACTCTGAGTTTTTCAAGAGAGTTATTTTAATCTCTTTAGATGCCATGGGACCAGCTATTGTTCTCACTGGCACCATTTTTGTACTTAAGACTAAACCCATCTGCACTTGTTAACCAGCAATGGAGTTTGTGCACACTTAAAAAAAAAAAAATCTTCTTTTCTGGGAGCACTATATATTTTGCATGAGAGAGAGATGCATAAGCATACAATGCCTGTATTGTCTAAATTAGCAGTGCGTTTCCTCCAGCAGCATAGATCCTAGGCAAGTCAAATCAATCTCTCTCTTTAAAGAGAGAGCTGTCTTCTGCAAACTTGCCTGCTGTTGAGAGGAGCAACTCAGAGCTCAGGACTTGGACCTGCCAAAGCCTGGGACAACCGAGTGCAGCAAAGAGCATGGGCTTCGACCATGCAATTAGGCCCATGAGGAAGACACAGAGACACAAGAAAACACGTGGAAAGAAGAGCTAAATAAACTCTAATGTGCCTTGAAGCAAAGGTTACATCAGTGTTGATGTCAGAGGAATAGTGCAAAAATACCCAGACGGCCTCTAGGCAAAGTACCAGCGGCAGTCCAAGGTACTCAGTAGCTGAGTGTGAAGTTGGATTTATGCAGCGGCCCAGTACCAGTTCACTGAATATTCTGGATATCCTGGATAATATCCATCTTAATCTGGAATCATTGCTCTTCTACACATTACATATGAAGAGCTGCTCGATGTCGTGACGACTTCATTAAAGTAGATGCATTTTTTTTGGAAATATCATTTTCTTCATCAGCTGTAATGTAGGTCTGTGCTTTACCAAATTTAATTCTAAAAGAGAAATGGTGAATAATTCTTTACTAACTCTTAAAAAAATTTTCCTCTTTGTTTTGGCCTGATTGTTACATCTGAAGTCTAAGAGATTGGTATTTAGAAGTGTTTCCAGATATTAAATTTTTATTTTCTTCCTATCACTTATCTTTCATCACATAAAATCTCCAGTAATGAACTCCTTATTTTACTTCAAAACACAACACATGTACAAACACACATTATAGAATCACTAACCATATCACAAGGAACAGGACTTTAGCAGACACAAAATTAACAGAAATACAAGACTTCATATTCCATAAGGAAATGCCTTTGGCTTTTTATGAAGTGTTTGATGCCTTAGAGATGATTCCAACAGATAGAAATACAGCTGTACAGTAGGAGACCACAATATGAGAGTCAATCAGGAAATAGACAGTCTGGTCACAATGTTATCTGAGAGACATGGAAAAATGTATATTTATATACCTACAGGGTAGGTAGAAGTCTGAGCTGTCAACAGGAGGGACAGGGTTGAGAGGATAATTTGAAACATCCTGAGTGGAAAATATAAATTACCAATCCGGGGAGGAGTCTGAAGTATGATTGCTTGTGAGTAAAAATAGAAGTATGTAATTAAGGAGATACTTACTGTACCAGGTCTAGGATACGGGATGCGACCTTCGTATTGTACCCACCGGTGATCCACACTCTCTTTGTGAGCATAAGGGCCATTGAAAACAGCTCTGATATCTGCCATGCTGTACACACACACTGCAGAGCCCTTGAAGACAGAGCTGAGAAGGAAGGTGGATTGATAAGCATATTGTAAACACCTCTTCAGTGCATGCCTCTCCCAGGGAATGAACTAATTCCAGAGAGTGTAACGGGGATTGGATCAATCCTGCATCTGATAGTTAATATAAGTAGTGCTAAATAACATTGTGTACAGGTCTGATAAGTACAGATATTTAATATCACTGTCGCTGTAAGTTAAAGCTTTGCTGGTTTGAAACCTGGAATTAGCCTTTGGGACCACTTGGTGGACTGCCATTTTTTTCTAGCAGCTGACAGTTTCCAGCTATCGTTTGTTAGCTATTTCGATCAGAATTTCCTGCAAATGAAGGACATTCCTTTACACTGTGTTCATATCCGGAAGTCCATATTATTTTACAGGTGATGTGCCTAAGAATTTCAAATTACATTGGATAAACAATAAAATGAGATAGGGCTAAACATTTTTTTTTTTTCAATGTCTCTTCTCTTTTTTTCTAAATGTATTTTTCTAAAAAATTAAACTCAAACAGTTCAGTTTTCCAAAGAACACAATGTCCGTGGCATGTACTTTAGTTACTTCATATGTCACTTAATTCATTGTGCAACATGTCATCCAATTTTAACAGCTGATGTCAAGTTGTTGCTTACAGAAATAATGCCTCATGACAATGTCTTAAATAGTATCTATTGGTTGCTCAATAAATAGGATTTACATTTGTAAATTGAACTAGATGAGGTTGAAATGAACTAGCATGCTTTCGATTGTTAAATTTTTATTCTTTTTTACAATCATTCTCACAAGTCAGACATACAAAAGTTATTATTTCCATTTCTGAAAACACTGTCCTTAGTGCCCCAATACTGCAAGCCTTATTCACGCAGTCTCTCACTGCTCTCAGAAATCAGAAACTAATAATAGAAGGGTTTAATAAAAGGCTTCAGTAAGAACTTCAGCATTTGTTTCCAGAGGCAAATGCGACCCTAGCACATACCTTGTTGTAGTGAAGACTCCATATACAAGTGGGTTTCTTTCATCTCTTGTAGAAAGTAAGAATATATCTTCTGCAATGGGAAATTTTTTTTTTTAATTAAACATCCACTGAATGTTTCTGTATTTACCATTTATAACTTTGAGATAATATATAACAGAGCTTTATTTTTGTCTGAATTTTAATTTCTGCCATATGAATATGTGTGAATATCCTGAAGTTTGTCCACTTGCAGGTGGTTTTATACAGAATCAGGTTTTCACTTTTCAGCTTCTGGAGTGAAAGGGGAAAAATCCCATATTTCTGATCAGGCTAATTCCAGTTATAATCGCGGCCTTCTGAAAACTATTGGAAATATTACCACCACTGTCTGGAAGAGGAGTAAAATCAAAACAAGACATAGTGTTTCTACAGACAACAAAAAAAACCCCAAGCAATACTGAAGTCAAAATAGACAATTTAAGATAAATCAACTTACGCAGCTCATCAAAATGTGTGTCTGCTCCTTCAGGACCCGGTATTGAACACACAAGCCTGGCTTTCAGAAATGTAGTCCACTTGTTTATTAGGCTTCTTTGGCCTCCCATATCATTCTGATAAACATAAAATTAAAATACTTTAGTACTAAATAAATAAGAAGAGTTTTAAGATTTATTTGATGGCAGCACAGAATTGACAGTGTTTCTTCAGTCTGATTCCACAGTTTAGTCTTACCACAACAACAAAGTCTTTTCTTTGTTGTAACTGTAATTTTCTTTTTCAAAAACCAGTGTAGGACAGCCATTTTTTTATAGTAGCTCCAGTAGTCACTTCTCAGTTCAGAAAGTGGGCAACTCAGATTTCCTAATTATACCCAAACCTGATCGCAAATTTCTCTCACCAGCTCTACAGCTGGAATGCTGTGAAAATATATGCTTATGTCGTGTGATTTCTTGTTCCTTGTGATGCTAATTTTTGCAATCAGTTGTTCTTCAAGAATCTTTTATAAACCAAATAATAATATGGAAATTTGGAATGATTTCTCAAGAAAAGAAAAACTATATTCATCAGCAGTTCTTGCAATGCACTGTTCGTTCTGTGTACATATACAGAGAGAGACTCATTCCAGGTAAAAACAGTCATATTATTTTAATAATAATTGTTATGGAAATATCACTCTATCCTCCACAAAAAGGAGGAATGAGTTGTTTTTCATTTATTTTATTATTGATTTCCAAGATATGAGCATACTTGCCTAAATTTCCTTTAGTCACTGGAGAAAGAAAAGAAATTTCTAAACGGTCACTTCAAATTTGAATTACCTTTCTGAAGGATAGGTGTCCTGCTACTGACTTGAATCAGTAGAGGCATTTAGGGAGGGTGGATTTTAGAGGAAATTTTATGAGACTGGGACTTAGGAGTTTGCCTTTATCTGTACCACTTGGCACCAAAAGACAGCTCTATGTAGATACTGCAATACTATTTAGGCATCAATCTTTTTTATTATTTTTTTATACTTAAAACTGTAGCAGCAATGATATTCCATCAGTAACCGAGAATACAAACACTTAAGAGAAATGTTATCACCAAGGGTAGTCTCCTAGCTATTGGTTCTGAATTGCCTCATGAAGGTGCTTACTCATTTTCATTCATAAGTTCTGAAGTTTAGGGAAACTGTTCTGTAAATGTAAGCATCACAAGTCTGGTCGAAAACATTCATTCTGTCTAGATTCACTAGGAAAAAACCACGTTTTTTTTGCAAATGTGAAGGTATAGAGTCAGACAGCAGGAAACATCGTCTGGTGGAAATTACGTGGTATTTCCATAGATTGTATTTGGCTTCTCAGGTCTGTATCATATATATAATACAGGCTTTCAGAAAGACAGGTTTAAGTGCTGAAAGGTGCTTCAAAAGGAGTAACACTTGTCTGGTAATGCATTCTAACCATTTTCCCTTTTTATGTGCTTGGTGCTTTTAAATACGTTAACTCAGTTGGAAATGATTTCTGTTAATCTATTGCCTTTGGAAGTCCTGTTCTTACAAGAGTTGCTACCTCCTCTCTTGATTTCCTGAGGTCCTGCCAAGCCTGAAGCTTTGCATCTAGCCAACAGATTTATTACAGAGGTGTCAAAATTAGCAGCCTGAAGCCAATAGGAAAAAGAAGCTCTGCATGTGTGTGTTCTGTTCAAAGGCACAGCAGATAAACTTTGTAGTGTAATTAAAATCAAACAATTACAAAGCTGTAATAAAGAGTCCTAGAAAGCAAGAAGCGTAAAGCTTTTCCTTCCTCTGGCAATTCAGATTAGCTAAGCAATTCTTGTGTTGCAGGGCTTTCACTTCAATTTCTGGTGGATGCAGTGCACCGTCACAGGAGATGAGATGTCTCCGACTGTCTGGCTAGGATCAGAAAACGGGGAGCAAGCAAGATGTGATGAGGCTAGCATGGAAAAATCACCCTTGTCTAGTTCCTGCTCCTGTCATCACAGGCATTCAGCTTCTTCAAGAGATGAGAAAATAAGTATTAAGTGTTTTACCATCCTTAAGTCATGATCCAATACAGCATTTTCAAAAATGCTTATTTTAAATATGTCACTGAGTTCCTGCACAGTAGGAACAAAATACTGTGCTCATAGGAAGTAGTCTTAGCAAGTGCTGTATGCTTTAAAATACAATTCCACTGTATTTAAGATGTATCCATGTTTCCTCACTCTCAAGCCAGCATACGATGTTAATCATGCTACTTACATTCAAGAGACATTAGAAAAGACATTCACTAAGTGCCTTACATATCCAAAAGTTGCCAGTAACACTGTACAGTTTATAAAGGAGCAAGAGGAATTCAATGACCAGCCAGCACACCAAGATCCACTACGAAATAATAGCAGTCATGGTGATCTTATTTACAAGTAGAATTAGCTCAGGTCCAGCCAAGGAGGTTCAAAAACTATTCATAGTATAGGAATATATCTGCTTGTGGATTCTCAAGCAATAATTGTATTATCAAGCTCTGGAAATCTCAGTTTTTTGAAGAATGTTAAACCCTTCCTAATACTATTTTTCAGTGCGTACTAGGTCAATCTTTGACATGTCTCGAGGCTTCAGGTTCTGGAGAACATGCGGTTACTCTTTTTTCCTTCAGATCGTGTTGGCATGAACTCATTAGCTTTGCATCATATCTGGCTACTCAGCTGAAGGTTCCGTAGACCATGGTAGTTCATTACTATTGGCCTCTGAGAGGCTGGACAAAGAACATACTGGCCCAAAATCTTAACAAGGCTGAGCTGTTTAAAGAAAGAAGATGAAATATTTAGTACCAACAGTCTGCAATGGATCACTGACATGCTCAAACACTATGAAGTGGATGTAGAGCAAGGCATTAATATAACAGGATGTCCAAGCTGGGCAGTCATTGGATTAGAAAAATGGATGAAAGAGAGGCAGTCATGAAAACAAAGGCCAGTCAGTTCAACAGGTGAATAGAAATTAGAATTCATCACAAAGTTATAGGATCAAAAAAAAGATCACTGGACTGATTTACACCAAGTAAGGATTTGCCTCAACACCAATGGAAGTGTCCACAAACTGGATGCACTGAAATTAATTTGGACAAGAGATACTGGTATCAAAGACCAAGAACGCTAAATATTTCAGGGAGATGAGACAAAGAATACATGATAAATTTAAGTGCTGAGAGAAGGAGAAGGCAGCATGAGCAAGCTTTTCATTCCAAAACTATGGCTAATCTCCTTGTAACAGATGAGCAGCCACAAGGATCTGAAATCTTATCTTCTGAAACATCACTTCTAAATACACTGGATTAGCAGTGTTTACTATAAACTTTGTGGCAGTACAGATGAAGGCACTTAGGACTGCATATTTCTTTTTGAATATAAATCAAGGTTTAATTAGCACTTACTGCTTTGTAACCTCACAAGCTGTAACAGATACCAACGCTTCCTCCTGAAAAACCTTCTTTTTAATGGAAAAAAAAAAAAAGGTTACTTGTGATTGCTTGTGAGAGATTTAGATAATTACCAACTAGAAGCTGGGCAGTTCAATCTGTCACCTGTTGAGGAAATACTAACAAAAAATATCACAAAGATTTAAACACAGAAATTACTTAGATAAAGGGAGAAGTAATCCTGTATGATTTTTATAGATCAGAAGGACTTTTATTCTATAGAAATTCTAAAATTTCAACCCTATTCAGTGAGCTGTTTCTAAAAAACAATTTGCTGGAGTAAGAAATCGGGTTTCTACCAAAGTACATTAAGAACTGAAATATCTGAGGTACCACTACAATGAGCAAAGTTAAGTGTATGGCTCTCTCACATTAAGAAAGTATGCTGTCTAAATGCCGCAATGTAAAATTTTTGAAGTAAATTAAGGTCATATGCCTTTCTTGGGAGACTTCCATGGAAATCTGTTTTCTGCTCTGCAATTTATGTATAACTGAGCAAACAACAGTTTTTTCAAATCCTCTAGTTAAACATAAGTTTATCAGGAAAATCAGGTTAGAAAAAAATATTGTCCTATGAACAAGTGATTTAATAATCAACAAATTAAATATTTCGTGTTTTATCTATTTTCTATTCTATTGTATCTCCATTAAAATGCACAAATGTTAGTCCTGGAATCCAGTAGGCAGGAAAACAGATGGCAACAAAGCTAGAGAACATCTGCATCTTTGGGGTTTTAAATATCTTATTTGTTTGTAAGTAACAGTGACAAATTGAACATTAGAACAAAAAGTGCAGTTTTCTGAAAATCAATCAACATCAAAGATGTCAAACACTGTGATTCATAAAACTTTAAAGACAGTATTTATCCTGAAGAGCCCTTTAAATCAAAAGAAGAACTAAAAAAAAAAAAAAAAAAAAAAGGACAATGAGTGGAATTTCTAGAAGCAGGTTATTAATTAGAGCCAGTGGCAAGATGTGCAGAAGGACCATCCAAAGTGAATTCCTGGCCTGAATAAAAGGAAATGCTGGAGAACAGAGGGGAAAAGAGCTGAAACTGCAAAAGGCCCTGGAGCCCTTCTCTTGTCTGAAACCTAGCTACATTTCAAAGCCACCAGAAACAAACGGCATCCCCTGCAGTAAGGCCTTACATTATGGGGAAAAACAAAAAAACAAAAATATCCAACCCCCTCCTCAACCAACAAATTAAAAACTAAAAAATCTCCTCTAGAAGACTTTATAAATGAAGAAATAGTGAATAATCTTCTTTGGAATTCTGTCTTCAAATTCACAGTTCTTTTTTAATTACTTAATTTTACTCTGCATATTTTGGCCCTACCCAACTCCATTAGGTATTGACCTAAAACAGGAAAATAAGATTTCCTCTTTCAGGAATTCATGTTCAAAATTTCTTTTCCAAACCATACTGTTGTCAGAGGAAAGATTCCTCCCATGGTGTCAGCAGGCTATGGGTCAGATCCAAAAACGTGAAGCAACAAGTGAAGTGTGACTTGCCAGAGAATTACAATACACTTGCAATATAAGCAAGATAAAAGAGTCACATGTGACTTTAGATCTTTGACTGCTCTGCTATGGATATCTTGAGCAAACTTGGGAAAGTCAGTTCACCTCTGTCTCGTCGTTAGTGCAGTAT